CACACACACACACACACACACACACACACACAGACACACACACACACACACACACACACACAGACATCAGTCAAATGCATCCTAGACAGACTGTCGATGTTCAACGTCCTGATAAGTCTGTGAAAGTTTGAGGAAGTAGTCTGCAAGAAACACTTTTTTGAGTGTATAGCAAATATGACAACACACACACACACACACACACACACACACACACACACATACACACACACATACACACGCACACACACACACAAACACACACACATTCACACACACTGACAGTCTGATACATGCCCAATTGGGAATGTATGTAGAACCAAGGACCCACAATGTGATGAAAAGGACTGAATGAACCATGCAATTTCAGTGAAACATCAACAAGCAAGGTGCATCCTGATACATACAAAATGACACATAGTAGTGCAAAGGAAGACTGAGAGATAAGTCCTGACCTGATCGGGACTGACGCAACATCCCACCATATACCACACATGTGAGAGGAAGAGGAGGGACCATACACATGGAAGAAAGGTCCCTTCTTTGTACACACACACACATGAACGACCATTTCCTCAAAATTGACATTTTTTATTTTTTGAACTAAATTGAAACTAAGTTTCTTGACCGAAAACTCGTCAAAATTTGTTGTTCCAAACGCTGGACCCCCTGGCTGCAGCAAAAAAATTCCCACGAGAAATGAAAGTTGAAAAAACATTCCATAAAAGAAAAATCCTTCATATTTATAAATTATCATTCCAATGTTCGTCCAATTCTAAACTTTCAAATTTAATTTGATTAGTTCCCGTCTAAATATGAGTTTTCTCTTCCAACTAAAATCTTTGTTCAAGATGGAATGAAAGTGTGGACGAGTTTATGAAATGTTTTAATGAGATTGTCATTCTACTTCAACAAATATCTTCTTATTTAGATTGGATTAACATATTTCTGACTGGAAATCCTTACTTAAAATGACAGTCCAATTAAAATATTTCATCAACTCATCCAGACTTTCATTCCATCTCTAGCATGCAGTTCAAATAAGAAGGAATACCCCATTCTTGAAAGGAAAGTTTTTAAGTAAGATGAAAATTTTTAAAATCCGAATGACATTTTATAAGATGGAATGAAAATTTAAAATTTAGAATGTAATTTTACTCTAGAACTATGTTGCACGCCCGGTCGCGGCCGGGGGGTCCGAATCGGCCGCGGCCTAGGCCGATGACCGAATCGGCCCGGTTCAGCCTGGGCCGACCAACCGAGTTCCGTACATGATTTTTTTCCCCTATTTTTGACGTAAAAAAAAAATAAAAAAATATATGGGCATGTCGGGCTTTGTCCGACCTTCCGCGTGGCGCTGAAAAAAAAAAAAAAAAAAAAAAAAAAAAAAAAAGGGCCTGGTGGACCGTTTTGGCCATGTTTCGGTGCCAGCAGGTGAGGGGCACCGTGTGGGCACTGGGCAGTGTGAGGAGGGCGGTGGGTCCATGCCGAGGTCACGACAAAACTATTGCCGTTTCAAATAAATGCTGCCATTTATCTCAAACGACAACAGTTATTGCTGTTGCCATTAGGCTGCCGAACTGCCTGCTCCAGGCTGCTCGCACGCTGAGAGAGAGAGAGAGAGAGAGAGAGAGAGAGAGAGAGAAAGAGAGAGAGAGAGAGATCTTCTTCTTCTTCTTCTTCTTCTTCTTCTTCTTCTTCTTCTCGGTGCGCAGTTGGCAGCGTCGCCGCGCGAGCAGGCGGGACAGCTCCTCGACGTCGGCCAGTGCCCGCCCGACGGTCGTCGCCATCGCTGAGCGCGGCGTTTTCCAGCGCGCGGCCATTTTAGTGCCCGACCACGGCCGGGCGAGGCCGAACACGGCCGATCGCAGCCGAACACGGCCGAGTTGCTACTCCGCACCGATAGAGGCCGCCAGACCGGGTTCCGCGGGGCGCAGAGGCGTGGGTGACATCGGTGGGACGCGGCAGTGGCAGCATCGGGGACGTCAGGGACTGCATCGACGGTGCGGCAACGTCAGACGACATCAACGATCATTGCGACGACTTGTTAGATTTGGTGGGGGAGGGGGGGGCGATGACGGGGGGGGCAGGGACCAACGGTGGGGGGGGGTCTGGGGTTGCCCAGTTCAACCCGCTGTCCGAGAAGGAGATGGCGAGGTTGAGGCGGGGGAACTTGGTTTGGAACTTCGTCACGGCGGGGCAGTACGTCGGGGACCAGTCCAAGATGCATGGGGACCGAAAGTTGCATTGCAACTTATGCGGCCACCTGTTTCAGGGGGGGTCATCAAAGGCCGCGCGCCATTTCACGCAGTCGAAGTACGGCAAGGCTGGGGGGATGAGAGTTCTCCCGGAACTCTGGAACGACACGAACTACACATTCGTGTCGTCCACTGCTTAGCGGGTGCAGAGGTGGATGGCGGACGAGGGGATACGGGACACGAGAGCGCCCGCGGGTGGCCAGCGACAGCGGACGGACGACTGAGAGAGGGACGACATTCAGGACGCCCTCGACGAGGAGGAGGGTCGTGAGGGTGGGGCCAGGGAGGGGGGGGTGGGAGACGAGGCAGATGAGGCAGTCGGAGAGCCTCACCTGCCAGGGGAGGAGGTGGTGATGATGTCGAGAGGCATCGGTCGAGCGGGTCCCGCTCCTGGGGCACCGTGACCTGAGTTGGAGTGCGCGAGGAGGGAGAAGAGGATAGTGGGCCAGGCTGGCGTTGAGTTGTGCGACACGGGCAGGGAGAAGAGGGCTCGGCAGACGACGATTGACGAGATGTATGCCAAGGAAAAGTTGGCCGAGTTCACTGACCCGTGACTGCAGTGGATCTACGTAAAGGGGTTGCCATTCAACCCCTTCCGTGGTTCGAAGTTCCAGAGGGTGCGGCAGACGGTAGAGAGAGTGACTCGCAAGGTCCTGTGTCGGTTTCCCTCGTTCAGGGTTATAGCGGGCGCCGGTATTCCTTCGCAGAGGGCAAAGGTGGCGACGATGGTGAGTGAGGTGTGCGTCGCTTTCCGGCACAGCGGTGCCACCATCCTCTCCGACGGGAGGAAGTCGCGTAGCAGCAAGCCGCTCGTGACGGGTCGGTCCGAGACACAGCGGACATCGTGTACTGTAGGTGGCGGGCCATCATCTTGTCCTTTTCTGCAAAGGACGTGATCGGCTTCAGCACAGACTCCGCCAGTAACTATACGGCGGTGGCATGCAGATTCGCCACTGACCCCGAACACGACATTAGGAGGATCACTTGGCTCCCCTGCTCCACCCATGTCTGCAACTTGATGTTGTCAGATATCGGGACGCGAGTTGGGTGGGTAAAGGACACCATCAACCGCGCTCGGGCGCTTGTGTGATTTATTAAATCGCACGGCGATGTTCACACCCTGTTTAGGAAGGTGAGCCCTCGCGTTCAGCTCGTCGAGCCCGTTGAGACACGGTTCGCATCGGTTTTCCTGATGCTGACGTGTCTCAAAGGCCGACGAGATGCGTTGGAGAGCATGTTGCATGGGGATGCTTGGGCACGCATCCCGTGGGAGCGCAGGCATGTATCGCAGGCGCAGTGGGTGCAACAGAAGATCCGGGACGTGGAGTTTTGGTGTTGTGTCCAGTACGCCCTCCTTATCGTGGGGCCCATCCACCAGCTGTTGCGCAGGATGGATAGGGGGGGGATGATGATGTCCGTCGTTTACGAGTGGAATCAGCATGTGCTGCAGTTGATGAGGAGGGTCGACGTGCCGGAGGACATGATCGAGCTGTGCATGTTGCCATCCGCAACCTCCACATGCTAGAGCCCGCACATGCCTCGGCCCACCTCCTCAACCCTCGTCGACGGTCGCTCACGTATTACGAGTCGTTACAGACGACCGCCGACGACGCCCGTGTGGTCGAGGAGTGCGACAAATTTCTCCTGGCGCAGACCGGCGGCGATTCGGTCGGCAGACTGTACAGGACTGTGAGGGATCAGATGAGGGTCTTCCACTCGAGGCGAGGTGATTGGGGAGATCGGTCCCTCTCTGATGCCGAGGCGGACGATTGCAGGGGGGACCGCGAGACCGAGCGATGTGCAGCATGGTGGTTTGACCATGGACGGGCCCACCCAGAGTTGTGCACCATCGCCATCCGTGTCATGCACTTGTGGACGTCTGCCTCTCTAGCGGAGAGGAACTGGACGCAGCACGAGCGCATCAACACGGCGAGGCGCGCCAAGCTTGGGTTTGCCAAGCTTGCACAACTGGTTGAGATTGCCACCAATCTCAAACTGGCCTCCTGCACACGGCAGGGTGGTGGCTACCTGTTACCATGGGTTATGGGGACCGGTCGGGAGGGGACGGCGGCAGAGGACGAGGATGAGGAGGGAGACGTGGAGCCCGAGGTGTGGGGAGCACGACCTGCTGGCAGTGTTCCAGAGGTGGAGATCCAGCAACGAATTGTCGCTTTCCATGACAGCCGACCGTCCAGAGCCCTTTCGGTTCGGGACATGTTCGGCAAGAGGGCGACGGAGCTGCGACCGTGGCCAGAGGGTGGTGATGATGTGGACGCTGATGCGGCAGACGACGACATCGACGACGAGTGGACAGACGATGATGACACGCCGCTGATTGGCGACCCGACGGCTGAGTGGGTGTACTTCACTTATGGTGGGGGACGAGACGTCGTGGATTCATTCACATCAGTTATCACTGGTGATGTGCCGTCGACCACACAGGAGAGTGGCAGCAGTAGAGCCACTGATGGTCGTGGAGGACGTTTGCGTGCGGAGGTTGGCGTCGACGACTCGGGGGAGCAGCAGCCACGGGGAGGTCTTCGGCAGACAGGCAGACGTTGGGAGGTTAGGAGCGACAGCTAGGCCGAGGAGGAGGCCAAGGATGAGGGGGTGCCCCTTCACAATCGTCGCTTCTCTCCCTCCCATCATCGGAGTGCTGCATAGCCCGAGGCACGTAGGCGTTCAGAGAGGTTGGCGTCGGCATCAGACAGAGACCGGACACATGACGGCGAGGATCGTGGGGGGGAGAGGACTCCTTCCGACGCCGGTATCCGCCCCCGCTCGCCGTCGGTGCTCCGCACACACGACTTTGACGTCGTAGCGCTTGGTGGGAGCTTGGGAGATTTCAGTGTCGAGGGACGTCGGCGTGTCTCACCGTCGGAGGTGTGCAGGGCGCTATTGAGACTTAGGAGAAGAGGGATGCCCGTTTGGACCGAGAGGAGGAGGAGCGGCTGGGGAGTTTACCACGATGGGAAGGTCGGTTCGCGTATCTTGACGAGCAGCGTCGGCGGAGGGAGTTGGAGACAGGAGGGGGGGGAGGCCGTGACGTCGACGACTCGGGTGTCCCTGAGGAGGCAGCTCAGGGGGAGTTCGATGATGAGGGACACGATGCCGCCGCGGGTGGTGGGTTAGGTGGTGGACGTCGCGGCGACGGGGAGACCGCGGGTGATGAGGGGCAGGATGTTGTCGTGGGCGGTGGGTCCCCTAGTGGGGGGCGTGGCGACAGCGAGACCGCGGGTGACGAGGGACAGGGTGCCGCCGTGTGTGGCAGAGGAGAGGGTGGACCCCGTGGAGATGGGGACACCGCGGGTGTCGGGGGAGACGATGGACCTGACGGAGATGATGACGACGACTACGGTCCCGAGGACGATGCGTATAGGCTCGCCTTGGTGTTGAGGGACCCCATAGTACCTCCCTTGCGCCCTGTCGACACAACGCACACTTTCTTCGACGTCGACGCTTTGGCGCAAGCGTTGACGGATGACCCTTTCACACACATGAGCCGCAAGAGCGGCAAGAGGCGGGCCCCTGGGAGGGTATATTCACCGCCGCCGTTCGTGGTGGAGAGCCCTCACTGGTCGGGTTCGTCGCTCAGCGGCGTGAGAGGGAGGGAGTCCACAACGTGTGTGGTGGGGTCCAGCAGACACAGCGACGGCGGCAGAGACAGTGCAGGATCCATGCCTCCACCGCCCGCACGGACTCCGGAGGCCGGGGTCGACGCTGGGGACCAGACGGCGGAACCCGGAGTTGCGCACAGTGGCGGTTCCCCGCCGACAGTCCGAGGTGGTGTGGGTGGCGGATGGTCAGCTGTTCGTCGGGTCGGGGACTGGTTGCGGGCGGATTACGACGCCGGGAGATGCGTCTTCACGGGACGTACGCCAGTTCAGACGCAGGTTGCGGAGTGTGGGTCCGGACGTCCGAGCCTGCAGATGGCAGGCCGCATGCTCGGTTTGTCACGAGCGGAGGCGAGGAGATCATTGGTCCTCGAGGCCGCAGGGACATCCACGGACATGCTGCGGGGAGAGCAGTTCACATCGGGCGAAGAGGGGTTGTTCATGCGCCACGGGACGAGACAACAGTGTGGCCTCTCGGAGGTTAAGGCTCGACTCGCGGCAGGGGTCGCCGCTGGCCAGGCAGCATTGGACGCGATTCAGAGGGAGAGAGAGACGGGGATTGTTGCACGGGCGGCAGAGGACGAGGACGCAGACACAGAGTCCGAGCCGATCGAGACTGCGGCTCGCAGCCACAGGGCACAGGTGGCCGCGGCAGCCGCTGCAACACAGACGGCATACCTCAGCGGAGCACGGGGCACAGGTGCCGAAGGGAGAGGAGGGCGACGGGGAGGACCACATGGCCGCCCGTCCTCCGGGAGAGGCCGCGCACGCTCTGGAGGGAGATGACAACGTCCGTGGTATTTTTTTTTTTATTATTTTTTTTTGTTTTTTGCGTGGCTGTACAGCCTGGGTGCTCTGTCGGCAGGGTTGTTGCATATTTATGTCGATGTTTTTCCATGGAGACAATGACAGTATGTGGACATTAGAGTTTTTTTTTTGTTTTTTTGCTACTCGGTTGTACACTAGAGATGACGGGTCCAGTTTTTGGCTTCAGCCTTGTACATACACATTTCCATTGCAATGCTTTGTCAGTAGGGTCCAGTTTTTTTTTTGCTACTCGGTTGTACAGTAGAGACGACGGGTCCAGTTTTAGACTTCATCCTTGTACATACGCATTTCCATTGAAATGCTTTGTCATATATTTGCTCTTGTTCGTGTTCCTCTACCAACATTGGTCTTGTATCTGAGTCGCTGTTGTTTGGTGAGTGGTTTCTGGTTTGTTGTCATGATTGTTGCAAATTATGTGCTTATCCGATGCTACAAACCTGCATGTCATGGATGCCTCCATTATGAATGTGCTGTTAATTTCGGATGCCAAATAGGGATGATGTGTTAATGAATGTGTTCTTACACAAACTTTCACCAGTCTGATGAGTGAACACACACTATGAGTCTATGACACACTTGCCTGTTAACATTGTTTGAAACTTATGGTTGGCCGCACTGTGATTGATTGTGAATGTGTTGTGATTTTGGTATGCCAACCAAGGTCTGACCTATGATTGCCATGAATGTGTTGTTTCAAAATATGTCAC